ATTAAAAGGTATATTTATATAATGGCAAGTTGGGTAATTTAAATTATAAAAAATGCTACTTCTAATCCATGTGGCACCTAAATTGTAGAAAAATGTTTAATCAAATTTCTAAAAGGCATAGATGTTTAATCTCAAAATTTTAAAACCTAGGCATTTGTATCAAAACCCCACCCCCCTTAATTTATATAAAACATGCCCATTTTTTTTGTATGTGAAATGTACCCACATTTTTATATGAATGTACCAATTTTTTGTATGTAAAATGTACGCAAATTTTATTATACAAATGTACTCATATTTTATGAAAATAAAAAAGGACTCTTTTTATAATCTAGAATGCACCCATAAGCAATTTATTTTGTTGAAACCCATAAGCAAATTTCAATAATTAAATTGGTAGGGTAAATTAAAGCAAAATAACGGTTTGAGTCTTTATTGGTATTATTGCATCTTTTTTATTATTATGTTATTTATTTGGAAAGAGAAGAACTTCAACAAGAAACTTAAAATACATAAGATTTGAATCTATAACCATCAGAAATCAGGAACAGTAACTAAACTATTCCTAAAAAAAATTCATACAATCATGATATTTATACGTGGTTGCCAAACAATGAACGATTGACGCCATAGGCCTGAGAAGTTTTTGTCCTTAAACTTATCCAACCCTACTAGGGTACTGCTTATCCTGTCCAGCAAGAATGTGTATCCTCTCCGGATCCTCATTGTGACGATTCCGAATATCCTTCAATCACATTAGTTAATTATAGATCGTGCGGTTATAAATTATTATAAATTTTTTTATTTAAAATTAAATATAAACAATACCTAACGAAAATTAATCGTTTGATATACGATGAATTAATGTGATTGGAGGATTCCTGAAATCCTCACAAAAATGATGAACCTCATTCGTCCAGCAAAGGTGAAGCTATAAGTAGCTAGCTATCTAGTGGTAGTATAGTGGGTGCCGTAGCAATTTGGTACTTAGCTGGAGTAGCCTTTGTGGTGGGAACGGAACGCACATGGTTGCACATGTGTCTATACTGATGTACTCCGTTGTGACGAAACCCCGTAGACCCACGCCATGACAACTTGGTCTTTTGATTTGGTGCAGTCAAATCCCAGTACATGACTTTATTTCTTACTATTAATGTTCCGAGTTCCAACAGGTAATTTGTGTGATGCCCCACTTCAAATTTTAGCACGCATTTGTTTGCCCAAATTCCGCAAGTCCTTTTAGGTTTGGACAAGGATTGTCTGCCATTCTATTTTCGGTGTTCTTTCATCCCTTCTTATTTTATGTGATCATAGTTAAGTCATGTCAATATTTTATATTATTTTTTTTATAGAAATAATAAGATAAAAATAAATAGTAAAATAAAATGTTAACATGGTTTAACTATAACCATACAAATAGAAGGACACGGAAATGCATCAGAAGCGGAAGGGTAGACAATCCTTGTTCTTTAGCTTTTGGCCTTATGATTGCACAAGTCCAATCTTCCCAATTCTTTCACGTGGGAAGTCATCATCACCATGAATTGTGAATGGACCTTTCTCATGGTGCTAGTGGCGAAATCAATAATTATTGAGGAAGGGGCGGAATTTAAAAGACCTTCGCCACTGCTGACATATGCTTGTCTTGCAGAAAAAGGTTGTAATTTGCAAATTTCTATTGGTCATTCCTACAGTATCTACTTATTTGAGTCGTCAACTCTTATACTACAAAACTTTGTAGTAGATTATTCATCTTCAGCAACTTCAACACAAATATGTTAAGACCAGAAGCACTCAAATCGCTACAACATATTTATGAAAGTGTTTGCCTCACAGACAATTAGTTTTCTTCTGTGATGCATCTTTTTTAGCACATTTTCAATATCCAAGGTTATGTACATCGTGCACCAATGCTGCTTCTATCTTTTTTCGTACTAGCACCTGCTTTTTCAAGATACCTGATAATACGCAGTTATCCCACCAAGTGTTTCGCCAACGAAGTACAACCCTAACCATAAATGAAGTTATCTCGTGCAAAAAGCATCATTCATTAAAGGCCGATATAGCTACGAAACTTTTGGCAGGATTTCAACAATCTACACTAGTGCCGCTTGGGGAACTTCGGTGTAGGCATGGACCTCCTGATGCCGGAGTCGGAGAAGAAATTATACTCACTCATTTTAATTACTGCAATATACACAAACACTTGTCATATTTGTTATAAACCAAGATTCAGTAGCAGGAAGACATACTATAAATGTATCGTTACTGTTGTAGTTCAAAGATTGTAAATGGTGAAAGGAAAAGAAATGCTATGTGAGCTTAAAAACGAGCTACAAAATTATTTTTTTGAATAAACGATATTATCTATACTGAGGGGGAATGAGTGGATTTAGTTTCATAATGAGCTAGCGATAATGTGGTTCAAATTCATCTTTGGTGTAAATTGAACCTAAGATCTCTCACTTACAAATGAAAAGGAGTGTCATTAGACCGTAGTATTAAGTGGCTAATATTATACTAGAATGATAATTTTTCTAACGAATACCATAAAAAGGACCTATTAAATTATTATTTTATAGGTACCCTTATTTTAATACTATTTTGCGTTTTAATCAATCCGTAACGTGACACGAAACTCAATATAAAAACGAGGCCCAAAATCCAAAATGGGCCAGCATACAAAGCCCAAATTAAGTCGCGCATTTTCAGCCGACTCAGGTCAACAGATCCAATCCATTTTCCCAATAGTGGAAAAAGTAAAAAGACAAAAGAGGTAAAAGGTCGAAACACGCGGCATTGCATAGCTTGATGTCCACGCACGCCTCATTGCTTGATGTCCACGCCGCTGCCCTTTCCGCTCCGTTTGGGAGAAACATATATTCCAATTCCAAAAGGGCCAATCCCGTGAAGCCCAACTGGCCACCAGCAGCAGCTCCGCCGTGACTCCGAATATCGGTTTGGAAATGCTTTAAAATCAGCGTCGTCGTGGTTTGGGAAATTTTAAAAGAATTAGAAAAGAGTACGATTAAATTAGAAATTTTAAACGCAGAATTAGCAAGTATCGTGCTATTAAATTAGGAATCCTAAAAGCAGAATTGAAATAGGCAAGAAAGTGTCATTTACAGAGTAGTGATGGAAGATGATGGTAATAGGAGGGAAGAAAATCTTACTCCGTCATTTATTGGCTCAAATAGAAATAGGAAATGTCATTATATTACAGGAGTGCAAGAATATCTTCAGAGGAAATATCAAATTATAAGATTCAAATTACAATTAATGGCTGATGTAGCGATCTGAAGCCTTATGTCAAATTTTATAATTCTCCAACCGAATTGTCAAATATTATTTTATTATTTAAATAAAGTTTTAGATAGTTGTAATTATAAAAAAAATGTTGAAACAAAATTTTTATAGGTTGAAATGTTAGTGGAATAAGGGACCCACCGTTACAATAAATTAAAAATAAGGAAAACTAATGAAAATAGTTTGAAAACTTTGAGTTTTAACGATAAGGAAAAAATAAAGGGTAAAGTGAATAGTATCAGGTTTGACTTTTTAGTGTAAAAATGTGGTTTTTCATTAAAGTGAACAGTCCCGTGAGCTTTTCGTTAAAACTCCCTTAAAAGTAGGGGTGGTTCGGTATAGGATCCCATACCGAAACCCTTGTCCCGATTCCCAAACCGAAATTTTCGGGAATCCCAAATTCAATACCAATCCCAAACCAAATTTTCGGGAATCCCAATTTTCGGGAATCCAGAAATAATTTCGGGATTTCGGGACAAATCGGGAATCCCGAAATGCTTTTGGACTTTTGGACTAAAATTTGACATATTATGCTTTTGGGCTAAAATTTTACATATTATGCTTTTGGGCCCAAACTGCCAATTTGTTATTTCTACTAACTTGCCCACTGTTCACTGCACAAATTTGACATAGTTTCATAAATTAAGTTTCAATCTACCCACTGTCCATTTGTGCACAAAGTTTCAATAATAACAAAGTTTCAATCTGCCCACTACACATGCATCATGCATGCAATAAAAATAAATTAGGTACCAAACCCAAAAGCAAAAATAATAGTTACAAGCCAAGGTTTTAAAATAAATAAAGTAACAAACTCAAAAGCAAAAATAATAGTTATAAGCCAAGCTGGGTGGTGATTCTGGTGAAGGAAGGTTGGTGGCACAGTGGCTGCGCTTCAAGCTCTTGATGGAACGGAAGTGAAAATTGAAATGGGGGGATCTGACCTAAAAGCAAATGAACGGCACAGATTAAATCTAAAACAATGAACGGTTGAAATAATTCTCTTATAATTAAAAAATAATATATATATATAATATTTATTTCGGTTCGGTATGGGAATACCGAAAAAATAGAGATGCAATACCGAATCCCGTACCGAAAATTTCGGTTTGGTTCGGGATGACATAGCGAAAATTTAGGGAATTTTGGTTTGGGATCGGGATTTTTTCGGTTTGGTTTGGGATTTTTGGGATTTTTTTCCAGCCCTACTTAAAAGTAAGAGTAATGCTAGGAAAACTTAATTTGTAGATTGAATTTGCAAACTAAATGATGTGTCACCAATAAGAAATAAAGACATTAATTAACACTTAAATACTAATCAAATCATTAATTTTCATATCATTTAATTTACAAAATTTAGTCAACAAATTTAGTCTCCCGATCATTACACTAAAAATGAATTTGACATTGATATCAAATTTGACGTCAAATCACAAAGCCTTCAAATTCAGTCAGTAAATAACACTTCGATTAGAGAGATTTTTAATATCAAACATGCACACATTTCACTTAGTATTTTGATATGTATTTTGGAGATGCTCTAAGACGATTCTAAAAGCAAAACCGGAATAGGAGAGAAATTAGGAAGCGTAACCAGATTTTAGGTATGTAAAGCCATCCTATATAAATAGATAGGGTGCGGCGATCGTTGAAAAGACAGACAGCCGAGAGAGATTAGTTATAGAGTTTGCACTCTGTTGTTAAGCCGTGATTTTTCTGTGCCTCTGTAACTCCTACTCCCCCTTCTCCTCACTATCCGCTCCTCCTCCTCAGCTTCCTACAACCAGCGCCGCCATGGTGCCCCACCCGAAAGACGACGTGTATCTCGAGGCCGTAATCCCGAAGCGCATCAAGCTCTTCGAGGCCATCCAGGCGCAGCAGCTCGCCCATCGCCAGTCCCTCCCCTCCGATCCCATCAAGTAAGCCCTAAACCCTAACTCTAAACTCCGCGTTAAGGTGTTTTTCGCTGCGGAATGTACACATGTGTTTGGATCTTCATTTCTTGTCTGGGGGGTTTTGTAGGATTACATTGCCGGGCGGACAGGAGAAGGAAGGGAAGAGGTGGGTGACTTCGCCATTTGACATTGCCAAGGATATTTCCAAGAGCTTGGCTTCCAGCGCTGTGATTGCGAAGGTCAATGGGGACCTTTGGGACATGGCCAGGCCGCTGGAGTTTGACTGTGAGCTCAAGCTCTTCAAATTTGAAGACGATGAAGGACGTGATACTTTCTGGCATTCCAGCGCTCACATTCTTGGACAGGTAGCCGGAGTTGGCGAATTTGTAGTTTGTTGGATTACATTTTGAGGGTTTTGTTGTGTATTTGACTTTCGATTCGTTGCAGGCACTTGAGGTTGAGTATGGATGCAAGCTCTGCATTGGTCCGTGCACTACAAGAGGAGAGGTCAAATATTTACGTTTGAGTTTGAGTTTTTCAGTTATTGGTTTGTTTATGCTATGTTGTCATGTGTTTTCGTTTAATTTTGCTACGTCTGTTCGATCATTGTCTGATATTGTATGACTTTTGTTCAATTGGTTATCGTTCGGGATTATGCTAGTTTCTTCAAATACTGCGTAAACTTTTTTGGTGAAAAGTAATTGTCTTGGAGATGATTTCATTAACATTTTATTTTCAATTTTAATGTGCAATGTATCTTACCATGATATAATAACTGGTTTCTGTTGTCTGTACATGTGTCTGTTCTTATGTACTCTCTGGTTGACAGCGTTGTTGGGATGGAGTTCTTTGTTGTTCTTTTCATGTGTAATTTATCACTTGGATATTGTAATTTTGTAATGCTAGTCTTTGAAATGAATTTGTATACAGTTCATTTCAGTTTCTCAATTACTCATTTGGGTCCCTTATGAAATTCAATGACAGGGTTTCTATTACGATGCTTTCTACAGCGATTTGGGATTGAATGATGAACACTTCAAGGACATTGCATCAGCGGCAGACAAGGCTGTTAAGGTACGGTTTATTCTCTTGTAGAATAGTTAAAATATATATTAAAATGTATTCCTTTTGTATGGAGGAATTTCTTGATCCTTCACCGTTTGCAAAATTTGTAAGTTGGTTCAACATTTTTGTGTTTCTTGTTGAGATTCCTTGACTGATTGTAGATTGATGCTTCAGTATTTTACTCTTGCTTGTTAAAACTCCTTTAACTGGTTTGTTGCATCTTTATCCCCAGGCTAAACAGCCTTTTGAGCGTATCGAAGTAACACGTGAACAGGCACTTGAGATATTTTCTGATAATCAATTCAAGGTAAGTGAAGACGTTCATTTTTTTTTTCTCATCAATAAATGACTATTATCTACTTATTTTATGTGCATTCCATACTCTCAAAGAGTCAAAATCAATCTCAGATGTGTTTATTTTTCACTAATTTTGATCAGGTTGAAATCATAAATGATCTTCCGGCAGACAAAACTATCACAGTATATAGATGTGGCCCCTTGGTTGACTTGTGCCGTGGACCCCATATACCAAATACATCCTTTGTCAAAGCATTTGCATGTTTAAAGGTATGTGTTCCCCTGGCATTTTAGAGCTGTAGATTATATATCATCTTGTATGCATGTATTGTCTGCGTATATTTAACTTATGAATATGTAATATCAGGCTTCTTCAGCCTACTGGAGGGGAAATAAAGATCGTGAAAGTTTACAGAGAGTTTATGGAATATCATATCCTGATAAGAAAAGTTTGCAGGTGATATTTTATTTTCTACCTTTTATGGGGTTTTGGTTTTTCTTAGCAGTATCTGAAATCTTTTCTCTGTCATGTTTTAAAATTGTATTTGGTGGCTCTAGTACCTTATATTGAAGTACAAATGCCATAATCAAAAAATGTGGCTTATGATATTTATAAAAATTGTCAAGCATTCAGGTTATGAATTGTGATGGAACAAGCCTGCAACCTATGCCAATATCTTCTACTGGACGTTGGTCTTGGATTATTTCACTTACCACATCAACCTTTTTCTGCAGATATACATCCAGAAGCTGGAAGAAGCAAAAAAGTATGACCACAGACTGTTGGGCACAAAGCAGGAGCTCTTTTTTTGTCACCCACTTAGGTATGTATGGAGCTAATACTTCTTCATTGTATAATCGATCAAGATTCCCCATGATTTCCATCTGATTATTTCTTCTTGTCAAATTCAGTCCAGGAAGTTGGTTCTTCCTCCCTAATGGGACTCGGATTTATAACAAACTAATGGAGTTCATAAAGAATCAATACAGAGAACGAGGCTATAAAGAGGTGACATTTAATGTTCTGTTTTTACATCATTCTACTAATCTTAAATAATTTTCACCTAATTTGCTTTTCTTTGGTAGGTTATATCACCAAACATGTACAATATGCAACTTTGGGAAACATCTGGTCATGCTGCAAATTACAAAGAGAATATGTTTGTATTTGAGGTGAGTTTTGACATGATACTATGGGGATCAGCTACATCATCTTTATGCCTAATCTTAATAGCAACCAAACTTATGAAGACATATTTATATTTTTCTGGATATGAATGAATAGTGAATACCAAATGTTGGCTATGTATATATTAATCTGTTGATAGCTAATCCGTGCCACCTAAGTGTGTGATTCTTTTTAGGAACTTTGTTTACCTGCTACCGTGAAGGGGTCTCTTACAGATGATTGAGATTTCCATTTGGTTATTCTGTGTGAAAAGAGCAGGACTATATTTAACTATGAGAATGAGACCATTACAGAGTTGTTATGCTTGGAAATGAAGAATATATTTAACCTGCTGGATTTTGCATTTTCTTGCAGATTGAGAAACAAGAATTTGGATTGAAGCCAATGAATTGCCCAGGGCATTGTTTGATGTTTCAGCACAGGGTTCGTTCTTATAGAGGTATGCCTTTAAACATAATTTTCTCGACCTTTTACTCTTTTATATTGCTGAAAGGAAAGTCATTCTGTATATGGAGGTCATTTTATGGATGTCCGCTTGGTCTTTTATCTCTTGGATTGGCCTTGTGGGCTTCTTAGGCCAGTCTCTTGGTATGAGTTGTGTGTTGCATTTTTCTGGGTTTTTTTTAGTGCAACGTGACTATTAAAGTACTAGAATTGTTACTTTATTTGACATTTTTGCGCCATACTCATTTATTTATTTTTTATTTTTTTAAAACCTTGACGACAGAACTTCCACTTAGACTCGCTGATTTTGGTGTTTTGCATCGCAATGAGGCCAGTGGTGCACTGACTGGATTAACACGTGTAAGGAGATTCCAGCAGGTATACTTCCACAGCCTTGGTTTAGCTTTAATTTAGGTGTCTCATGTTTGTCATCAACCTGCTTTGTAAACAACTAAACACATATGATTATCCTGGCTTCCAGTTTGTTAGTTCATTAGGAGCTCATATTTCTAATATGCTTGTCAGTGATCTTAATGATGCACTTTATTACTGGAAGATTTATATTTTTTGTCATTCTGTTCTTCTATTAATTTTCTGGTTACACGTATACCCTTCTGACAAGTTTTAGTCCAAAATATGCTACAGGATGATGCCCATATCTTTTGCAGGGAGTCCCAAGTGAGTTGAGCTTAATTGAAATGTACATAACTGTCTAAATTTTTTGGTTTTGTTTTGTTCTTAAGCCTTTTGTATTTTGTGCTTCTATTGTCAGGTAAAAGATGAAGTGAAGGGTGTCTTGGATTTTATCCAGTATGCCTATAATATTTTTGGCTTTTCTTTTGAACTGAAGCTATCAACAGTAAGATTCTTGCTACCTATGGTTAAAGCTTCAAACCTCTTGACTTCATTACTCAAGGATGCAAATTTCATATTTGTTGTGTTGCACAGCATTTGATGGGTATTTCCGTTGCAGATGCCAGAAAAACACATGGGAGATTTGGCAACATGGGAGAAAGCTGAGGCTGCCCTTGCAGACGCATTAAATGAGTTTGGCAAGCCCTGGCAGGTACTTTTACTTTATATGCAGTATGATAGTAAAATTTGTACAACTTTTATTGTAGTGGAGCCAGGGTAGTCATATTTATTTTTTAACTCAGTCCAAAATAGGTTCAAAACTCATTGTAGCCGAGCAGCATTTTTTAAATAAAGCACGTTGAGTTGAATGGATAGATTTGACCCATAAACCATTATCTACTCCACCGTTTTACCATTGACATAGATTGAACTGACAAATTTCTGTAATTGTTCGGTTGCCAATCTGGTCCATTATCTGTGCTTTGTTTTCTTAAGCTGTACATTAGGGCCCCCTGAATTTCTTGTTTGTGTCTGGATGCTTACTTTGTTAGTTGTGCTACACAGATAAATGAAGGGGATGGTGCTTTTTATGGACCAAAGATAGATATCAGTGTCTCTGATGCATTGAACAGAAAATATCAGTGTGCAACACTACAGGTATCTGATGATCAGTTCCTTTATGTTTTATGCCTCTTTCATTTTGTTTTTGGTTGCTGTGTAACTATCTGACTGTCATTGAAAATATTGTGGTTGCAGCTTGATTTTCAGCTTCCACAGAAGTTCGAGCTGTATTACTCGGCAGAGGGGGAAGAAGGCAAGTTGGAGAGACCCGTTATGATACACAGAGCTGTTTTAGGTTCTGTTGAGCGTATGTTTGCTATATTGTTGGAGAACTACAAGGGAAATGGCCCTTCTGGCTTAGTCCACGTCAAGCAATTGTTTGCCCCGTCTCAGACAAATCCCAACCTTACGCTCAGGAGGTAGTATGATAGTGCTTTTCTGGTTTTTATTGGTTGACCACTATGAGGTTGTATGAACTTTTTGTCATGCCCCTTTTTGGATATGAGATCCATATAAATGCAGTTAATGGCATACACACTTTCCGGCTTTGATAGATAGGTTAAATTATTCTGTACTGTTAAGTCATGTATAAGATATTGTTGTTGCAATTTTGTAGGTTCGGGACCGTATCCATGAAGCTGGTTATTATGTGGATGTTGACACAAGTGATAGAACCATCCAAAAGAAGGTAAGAATTCACTGTTGTCCTCTGCATTACATTTTTGGTTTCATTTTGTTTGTTATTTTATGAATTATTAGATGTCCATTGGGTTTAGTGGTTCCATCTCATAAACCGGGACAACTCTGGTGAAAACAGAATTGGATTCGAGGCTCTTTTGTATTCTGTTTAACCATAATACCTTTTGTCCAACAGATTGTTCATTGTTGCCTGATTGTGTTTGTCCTGCAGGTGCGAGAAGCCCAGATAGCGCAGTACAACTACATTTTAGTTGTTGGCGAGGAGGAAGTCAAGACTGGGCAGGTTCTGTTCTTTTCTTGTTCTCTAATTCATTCATGTTATACTTCACGCTAGTTCAACCGTCTTATGTATTATTTGGTTGAGAAGTTAAATGTTTGATCCGTATTGTTCCAGGTGAGCTTACGAGTTAGAGACCACGGAGACGTCACGGTAATGACAATGGAAAATCTACTCCAGCACTTCAAGGCTGAAGTTGAAGCTTTCCATTAGAGATGGAATGGCAAGGGTGGAGCTGTCTCTACTGATGAATACATTCTTACGTGTTTATGAATTCGATAAAAATAATATCTTGCACACGTTTGATGTCAAAGATTGAAATTTAATTAAATTTTGGTGTTAGACTGTCCTTTGATGTGTACTTTAATGTGTACAATTTTCATTGAATGTCTCATTAAATATTTGAACTTATTAATACACATTTTAAGTGATTAAATCATTAGTTACATTTGGATTTGGTGAATTGAACGGGGTTGTGGCCTCTCATTTTGGCTTATTTAAATAATTAATTCTTTGTTTTATATATTTTATTTACTTACATGTTATACACAAATGTCACGTCAGCAAAAATATAAGATCCTATTTGTCATACTATCATTTAACAGTCAAATTGACAGTTTAATTATGAAATTGCAAGTACACTCAAATAAATTGTCACATCATCACTTAATGGTCAAATTAACAGTTTTAATTATGAAGAAGCAAGTGCATCTAAATTTGAGAGTGTAAAATGTAATTTACTCAATATTATACTACCAGAAATGATAATTTTTTCTGATGAAATGTTAAAAAACGACCTTTTAAGTTATTACGTAATACCACTTTACATGTTAATCAATCCGTAACTTGACACGAATATAACACAACCTAAAAACGACTCATTACCACTCAAAGTCGAAAATGGGCCAGCATACAGACCCCAACTTAAGTGGCGCAACATTTTAACCCCTTATATAGAATCGGGATCGGACAGGACTGGACTGGATTCAGTTCAACACAACCAATCCACTTTCCCAAACGGCGGAAAAAGGGGAAAAGGAAAAAGTGGTAAAAGGTCAAAACACACGGTGTTGCATAGCTTGAATGCTTGATGTCCGCGCCGCTTCCCTTTCCATTTCCAAATCCTCCGTTTGGGAGAAACGTATCTTCCAATTCCAAAAGGGCCAAGCCCGTGACGCCCAATCTTACTACATATCCGTTCTTTTTAAATTAGGAGTCCCATATACGAAAAGCTCTGTGCAAGGTTCTAATTTTCATTTCAGGTTGCACGTGGACGGTGGGATAGGTAGTTGCTGACTGTCTCGACAGCACGTGTTCCTTACCTATAAGAGCAGTGTGAAATGTCTTCCTGGGGATCATAGGGATCCCCTGATCGTTACCGTTTATCGTACATCGTGTGATCAGTTTTCGTTAGATACTATTTATATTTAATTTTAAAATTTAAATTTTGAAATGATTTCTAACCGCATGATGTACGATGAACGATCACGATCACTGAATGATCATTTTTCGTGTGAAATGAAGCAAAGGGACAATCTCTAAAATGCTTCGTTGCAATTTGTCTAATTAGTCACTGGAGGCCCTCAACCCAATGTGAACATGAGCAACTTACATGTAACAGACTCATTGCCGTATTGAAGTTTTGATTTAATAATACATTGTCATGTGAAGAAAAACATGCACATGACAATTGATTATTGGATAAGGGATATCAAGTGATGCTCAATCTGTTCCATATAAGTCAAAAACATGCACATGACAATTGATTATTGGATAAGGGATATCAAGTGATGGTCAATCTGTTCCATATAAGTCCTCCTATTATATAAGCCCTTTACTAGTTAGTTATTTTTTTTTTTTTTTTTTTTACACACAATAAGAAAGTCATCTAACCTATGGAGGGAGTTCAACAATATGGGACCTCGAGTGCAATGGTGAATGTGTAATTGTTCTCCATTAAGGATCTAAACCTCGAGTGCAATGGTGAATGTGTAACTATTCTCCATTAAGGATCTAAACCAATTAAATACAAGTAACTACAATTAATACCATAATCATATATAGAATTATTCTATGGAAACAATCAGTTTTGAGGAATTCATCATTCCAAGTTAGAGTCAATCTTCTACTCTTTGCAATCTTGTGTTCAGTTATCAATAGGACGAACTTTTCAGTATAAACGATAGCTAGTGAGAGGAGAGACCAAAACATACATTTATACAATAGTTGACAGTTTCCTCCTATTAAGGAAACTGTCATCCACTATGTGAGTGATTTAAAATCACTCTTCAAGAGTTCTTTTAATTTCCTAATATATGTCTAATTATAGTTCTTATTTAATAACACAAATAAAATGATGTGGCAAACCCACGTGACATAATCTTACATAATATTCTTAATCAACTGAGTTATAAGTACAAAATTACTATTTTGCCCTCCTTATGGCAATATTATGTAGGGAGTTTTAACGAAAAGCCCACGGTACTGTTCACTTTAACGAAAAACCACATTTTTACACTAAAAAGTCAAACCTGGTACTATTCACTTTACCTTTTATTTTATCCTTATCGTTAAAACTCAAAGTTTTCAAGCCATTTTCATTAGTTTTCCTTATTATGTAATCAAAAATGAGGGCAAAATTGAAAAAAATGGGGAAAAAAAGTTGACAAGGGCTCCTCTTAATAGAATAGATAAGTCAAAACAGTTATCTCAGCTATACTGTCCAATTTTGTTTTCATCATAAATATGCATCCTCTTGCCGTTTGCAGTTGTCCTATTTTCTGCAAGCCCTTGACTCGTCCACAAACGAAGTAATTAAAAAAGTGCATTATTTATAAGAGCAAGAACACCCTTCACATTATGGGTACTAATATAGGATTATAAATAAGAGAGCTCGCTAATTATACAATGTTAGAAATAATGTTGATGGGCATAAGCAGACATAGAAGTGTTGGTTTCACCGACGTTGTTTTGATCATCGGACGGCCTATATTCTTCGTTACGATCATGATCATCATTGTCACTAGTCTCCTCCTTGGCCACTTTCTGGTCTGTCATTGCCATAAAATCCACATGTCCATGACCATGAGATAATAAAAACTGGGATTGATCATGCGGCTGAGGATTATGATCGTGATTCGTCGGCACGACCGACGGAAGCTTCGAGAGGAGGGCTTCAAGGCTGCTCATGGAGGGGGTTATGTTTTTCAATGGAACCACTTGATTAGGGTTGAGATATTGGTGATGATCATACATGAAGTCATGAGTTGGAGGTGGTGCAAGAGGGTTTATCCCTGCTTGAAGATGCCATGCATGATGATGGTGATCTGGGGTAAGACCATATGTATAGCCATGATGATGATGAGGATCAGGCTTGAAGGGGAAGGGTGGAGATGATGGGTGTGGGAGAAGCACTCCGGGGATGCTTTCGATGTAGCCGAACTTCTTTCTTAGTAGAACTACATAGCTCAAGTCTTCAATCACCTGCAAGATTTACAAACATTCATTAGTATCTTGCAGCCATCAAAGATGTATAGTTAAAGTTTGTCCGATGTCGTTTCGAATCAAAAGACAAATATTCATTAGTATATTTTGCCGTCATCTCTGATGTACAATTACTTTAGTTTTTGAGAGAGGGAATATCGTTCCCTATCAAAAGCAAACATTCAATAGTTCTTGAGAGAGAGAGAGAGAGAGAGAGAGAGAGAGAGAGAGTCTAGTCTCACCTTGTGAACAGCTCCTAACTGAATAACACCTTCTCTAACTGCTATCAGGGCTATGGTCTGCAAGATATATTTGACAAAAGAAAATCATCAAATTAGAACCAAATTTTCTGATTTTTTTTTTTGGAATTTTTGTGGTCTGGGGTTTAATAATGCTTAATTAAGTACCTTTATGCCAGACTGGAACTGGGCTTCCCATGTTCTAGGGTGCTGAGTCAAAAAAAGTAAAATTTTAGACTATATTATTGAAATAAAACGAGGGTCGAGGGTGTACATACATAATAATTGTGCCTGTAATTAGTTTATGCTGCATGAAATAACAAACTTAAGTATATATAGAAGCATTGATAGATCAGGAGTAATTACACCAATAAGGTTAGTGTATATACCGTGTCTGCTGAGTTGTGCCATGTTGATAAGAAGTTGATTTCTTGATCATTTGGTTCTTTGTGTATCCACTTATGACTATGATCTACCGCCACTTTCCCTATCAACCTACATAACAACAATCAATAACTACATATAAATGTTCTTTCGGATTAATTAGTGGTTTTAGAGCTCCGTGATCAAGTACACTCAGAGAAAAACAAAGTTAAAAGTAGTTCAATTTGGTAATTAATTAACTAATTAATCAAACTTGATACATATGTTTCATCATAACTAGGTTAATTACCCTTCTCCATAGTTGTAGATCTCATGGGACATCTTGAAGAAAAGCTCAGGTTGCAGGCCATTGTATTGTTGAAATTGATCACATGAGTTGCCATACATTGATGAAGGTCCTGCAGGGCACTGATCAGAACTGGAGTTGATCTCATGAGCTGCTGAGGAGGCACCAAAGTTGCAGAATCCATCTTCCCAAACCAATATCCTGCATGTACACACACACACACACACACACACAGATATATATATATAGTTATTCACACACAAGTATTATATATATAATTGGATGCATACACAACCTAGCTATGAATCTATTTTATACTATGAAAACTGGATTAAACTAACTAAAACATTGATTAAATTAATATATATACCAGTTCCTTCTGTTTCCTCTTGACCTATCATAAGTTCCATGACCTTCCCATCTGTTATAAAACCAAAATTATTAATGAAAATATTAATTTCAATAGACTAACTTTGTGGGAACTGAACTAAAAAAAAGCTTTTTTCTGTAATTATTTTGGAAACTTTTTCAATTTTTGCCTCTGCTTACTTGGGTGGTGGGTAGTTTCTAGGAAGGATCCTCCAGAAGACTGCATAAATCCACTGAGAGTTTTCATGAATGCACAAGCTTCTCAGGGTGTGTTGAAGCAGATGAGTTACAGCTAAGGGGTTCAGATGTTCTTCCATATTTCTCTCAAATGTTTTCCTTAATTACCTTCTTCTCTTCTTCCTTTTCCTCTCCCCTTCCAATCTTTACCTATCCTCAAGAGAAGCAAAACCCCCACATCCTATCACCCATTTTATAATATAGTCTCTCTCTCCCTCTCTCTCTCACTAGTGTGGAAGACTGAAGTAGTGAAATAAATTTTTCTTTGATTACTTTTACCAAAACGTTTCCCTGAGGCCCCACCTTGTATGTCTTCCCGGTTCCCAACAGTCTTGATTTCAATCCCTTGATTCAAAAACTACTATCCCATCTTATGAGTAGTATTGCTTATTACTTCGTTCCAATTATGATGAATTATCAGAGAAACGACCAAACCTTATTATTCTCATCAGACTACATCATGAGTAGTAGTATTTAGTAGTTCCTACAACCCCCTATGCATTATCATCGATCTGACTTCTGACACACTTATTGACTACGTATTACCACTCGATCATTTGCAGTCCCACGATGCATGAAGCTTTCTCAGAGCACTTTCAGTGTTGCTAGGCTCCCCTGGGTTAGAGGCAACCAATCTCCTAAAATGAACAGTAATTATTTCTAATGAACAGTAAGTGCTCAAGTGTATTTTCACATCTAAACTGAATAGCCAAGACAATTCGTAATAAAATATTAGTATTTTTATTTTATAAAATAATAAAAAATAATTTTATTTTCATTATAAAACAATTTATTGTATTTCTAATTAATTTTCTATAATTTATAGTATTTTTAATTAATTTATATTAGTATTTTATAATTTTTATTAGTGGCTGATTTCACCATGACGTTAGCCTTGTGTCATATCCCTCAGGCGCTGGGCTGTGGGTTTATGCCTGGTGGAGAGCTTGAGCTCGCGTGGAGCCCAAGTTATTTGAATGGGCTAGAGCCAATTGCTGGGGCATTGGAGCCAATCCCCAAGGAAATTGGGGCACGCTGGAAGTGCTCTTAATTGCCCTCGTCCTTTAAAGAACAAAACCCTAATCATCCCTACTATTAAAGTTACCTTAAAGTTTTTTTTCAGATGTAGTTGTCATTTTCAACTTCTTCACTGAAAAAAAAGGGTTCTATTTTTGAAATGTGAAGCTGAAGGAAGTTTGTGTTTTATCGTAGAATAAATTGGTAACATAACTAGTATGTAAATCAGCTTCTTATAGGCATATGCAATGATTCTCAGTTCTTCGATATGGGATTTACACTTTTAACAACGCCCTCAAGTGTGCAGTCATTTAAATCAAACACATGAACAACACATATATGTATTAGGCGGTGTGAAAGCACATAGGTCGTTGAGCTCAATAGTGAGCTAACCTTTTTTTTACTATTAAAAAAGTTGAGATTCTACAATTAATCAATAGTTGGGAAGTGATCCAATTCTTAATACGCACATGCAATGTCTTTTAATTTTCCGATATGAGACTCGCACACTCACTAGAAGCAAGTTTTGCCACAAACATAAATTTGTGACTTGGTTTCGTATGGTGTTGAGACATGCGTGCTAGCTTGTAGCTAGTTTGCTATTCATATATATTGCTGCTAGAGCCCGGTATAGATATTGCACAGTCAAAACAGTGTGGGTGCAAGAGCTATTAGGGTTTGAGAAACCTTAGTCCATAATACACGTACAGAGTTGCAGCTTGTAACAGTCTTACCTTCTGCTACTTCATAATGGCACTTTTCCAATTAAGTAGAGGGCCGGCCATTACTAAGCTTTACAGACAAGGTGGAAAAGTTGCAACCAGTTTAAGAAGAGTACTGGCCTGTTGTTGAGACAAACCATGTTACATAAAAATGTTGACGGTAACAATTTTCGCATTTTCAGTTTAATTACTGCTTTCAACATTTCAAGTTGAGAATTTTATAGTTTTTAAACTCTAGTAAACAATGTTAATTAAATTATAAAATCAAAATCGCTACATAACACTGAAATATTGCATGACTTATATTCACCGTGCTCACTGCATAATTGCAACAGTAGAGTGTACTTTCCTTTGTAGCTCGATCAGAACAGCCCCAGTTAGTTAGAGAATTAGATTAAATGAACAAGTGCAATGCAACGTTCAAGTGTTTGAGGCTTTGGGCTCTCTCTCTCTCTCTCTCTCTCTCTCTCTCTCTCTCTGTCTCTGTATCTCTCTCACTGTGTATTGTGTGAAGAACATGATGACCAAAAGGAGCTATCAGTGGTTTTATTTCCCCACCCTGACACCAAGGAAAATTGACAGAAACATTACACTGTCCCTTTGACCGTCCTTTTCTTTTTACTAGAAACCGTCGTCTCATTAACACCGTGCAGTAAATGTCGTGTAATTTACTTACTTACAGCATATAACCAAACATTTGTCACCTTCATTGCTCAGCCAAACATATGATAGTGACACACATTGCCATCTATATAATTTTCTCTGTGGATTCCTGTCACCAAGCCAACCCCCCATCTATGTAATGTCCTCCATGAGAGAGAGAGGTGTTATAATTCATAAATGAGTTCTGTTATTGTAGTTATTTTTGGGATCTTATAATGCATGAATTTACGAGTAAATTAATAATTTTGGAGACAAAGTCTGATGGTGGTGATGCAAGCAAAAGAAGTGTGTTTTGGGGTAACAATTGAATTAGCTTTGGATTTTGTAGATGGTAGTTTTCGTTTATGATCTACACAATATGTTGTTGTTTTGTTCAATTTTTGAATAGCTCTCTTCCAAAAATTGATATTTGGGGGAGAAGAGGTGATATGGAAGCAAAGGATGGCACAATAAGATAGAGTGAGTGAGAGTCCTCATGGTCAAAGATAAATTGCCCCATCCCTTTCTCCCATTTTAAGAAGTGGGAATCTCTGCTCTTCCCATCCTTTCCACACCTCCCATTTGATATATTTAATATTTTTGTTACATACAAATATTTCTTCCTTAGATAGGATATATGTTTATTAAAAGATAGATTGTCGATATAAGATATATATATATATATATATATATATATATATATTGATAAAACGTTGATAACTCAAGTAAGCATATGACAACAACTTATCAAAGAAAATATCCACATTATCGATACAAAATCTGTTGTTTGTACACAAATATATATATTTATATATAAATGTGTAGCATTTGTTAATTTGTAAAGTATCCACAGTATCTTAGTAATGCAAACTCTAAAGCATGCATATGATCTTCTCCCACAACACAACTTTAGTATATAATTAAATTGATTATTTTATGTGAAAGGTTGGTATAGGAACAGAGAATGCATGGCGGGGGGTGGTCAATGTAATTTGAAATTGTTTGGAATGTTTGATATTGTATTTTGTGTTAGAGATGATGGGTTATTGCATTGGATAGATTGACTATTTTGTCTTAAAATAGCAGAACATTAACTAAGGCTCCGTTATTTGGTTTTGCTGAAATGATTATGTAGGTTATTTAGGTTCCTGTGAATTGTTAGAGAGATTTTTTAGTGTGTCCGAAATATAAGGCTTTATGTGATATGTTATGATACAAATGGAGAGAAATTTTTATATATTTCAAGTGTCTCTTTTCTTGTATAATGACTAATGACCGTGATCCAAACATCCTGTAAAATCTTTCAAATTATTGATGTCCAAAAATCTAAATTTCAGTATTTCTTGGAGTGATGAATTGTCTTATCATTTAACCAAATGATTTGTTGTCACATTGATTATAAAATGGAATCCGCATTCCCAAATACATGTGTCACAATACGGTGGTTTTTATTTCAAGAGAAAATTATGATAGTGTTGATAAAATAAAATAAAAAATGCTAAAGAGATTTTCTTAAAATGAGACACTTTATAAATCATCTTCGATCTCACAATTTAAAATTAATTTTATGTCATTTTTATAAAATATTATGTTAAAAATATAAGATGTCAAATAATTTATAGAGTTACAATCGTGAGAAATTAGGTGAATCAACATACGCTAGGACATAACCTGCAACTTGCTTGGAGCAATTAGAAGGAGCCACGCTCCCAACAGTATCTGTGTCTATAAAATAAGAACTTAAGAAAACTTAAACAATTATTTCTAGTTATAATTTTACTGAAGGTTTGGATTTCCTAACCAAAGTCTCTTCATGTCAAAAAACATTCCAAACTGAACTAAACGGTGAGTTTTATTTCTTTATTTATTCTATTTTTATTTTTTGAAGGCTTGGTTGATCTCTAGATTGCAAGGCTTCTTTGTGTTTTGTGCACAACCAATCAACATAAACGAAACTATTTCTTTCATTAAGTTAATGCGTTCGTAGTACTGTAGGGTGATTAAAATGTGGGAAAGAAGATGCTAAAATCCAATGGGACAGAAGGTGTCCGGAATGAGATTTTTTAGTGTGCTTAGAATACTCGTATATTAAGTATCATAATACAAGCGATTGAATATTTAAAAAAAAAAATTCCAACTTATATTATATATGACACTTAATACACCGGATAGTGATTTTTGCACACCGAAAAGTTTCTCGTCCAAAACTAGATTTTTCATAGTGTGACAGGAGTTGGTCAAATGAATCGAACTTGCAATTTTTTTCCCCCAAACATAGAAAAACTGCAAGGCATCACGTGAAGTTGTCACAATCTTTTAGCACGAAAGCTTTTGTGTACACATCCAATAACGAAAAGTAAAAGGCACAAGAATAAAGAAAGATATCCCTTTTCTGTAAATTGCGTCTATCCTATGTCTTTCAAAGACAAAATATTCTTGGCTCCCACACACACCCAACTTTTGTACATCATCAATGTAGCAAAAAGCCGTCCACAACATAGTACCCAAAAGTGCCTGTAATTCAAACCTGCAATCAAAAAATGGAAGATGCCCCTTCGTCCATCACAAGGACATGAGATACTTGAGGGAAATTTTGAAAAGTAGTTAATAGTTAGACATGATAAAAGGAGGGTTCATTTGGAATTTGTATTTATAATGGTTGAGAGTGTTTTTTTTGTGAAATATTTTTGAAATCAATATTTAATAAAAATGCAAGTGAATCTTGAAAAGCCTTTAGAGTGCTCACGTAGCTGGTGTTGCAGCAAGAAGCACTTTAAGTTCTTTTAAAACCCATATAAATTTTCTTTAAAAGCATTTTCAGTCGTTTTAAAAACACTTCCAACGAGCCCTTAGACTTTAGAACTACTATTTGAGGGAAGTTGTAGCATTGCTTGAGCGGCCTTGCGATAGCACTCATGGATAAAGTTTTAGTCACTTAGATTAAACTTTGTCGCCCACTCAAACCAAAAACCAGGCTACTAAACTCGCATATATTAGTCCACTAACCCCAAATCCCTAGTGAAAAAATTAGGTTGCCCATCTCACTAAAGATTTCTGAGGCTGCCCTTTGTTGAGAGGGATTGCTCGAGCGGCCTTGAGAAGGCTAAGGTTTTAGTGTGCTAGTAAAACGGTTAGTTTCCAGA